GGCTGCGCCCGGGGACGGAGGTGGCACGGGAGGGATGGACATCGGGGATGTGCCAGCTGGATGCTTCCCCGGATGCTTTCCAGCTCGCCCGTGGGGTTTTTGGGATGGGGATGAAGTGGCCGGGTGCCGGCATCGCGTGGATCTTCTCCACGGCGCCAGCGGTTCCTGCAGGGTCATCTCCGGGCTGGAGCACTTGCAGGCAAAGGGAAAAGCCAGGGCGGAGGCTTTCCGCCCCGGCGCCTGCGTGTAGCATTTTACCTGGAAAAACATCAGCTTGGGTCCCAAATGGACCTTTTTCTCTCCCAAAACGAGAGGCCGGTGGCTGCCGAGCCTGAGCCTTCGAGCCCGGCAGAGAGGAGCCTGCTGTGACCCTGTGCCGTCTCACGGGGACACACAATGCCGAGACAGGCATTGCAGGGACGTGCAACGCCGGGATGTGCAACATCAGGAAGACGGGCAATGCCGGGATACACAATCCTGGGCCACACGATGCCAGGACACAACGACGCCGGGACATGCAATCCCGGGACATGCGATGCTGGGACACGCAATGCCGTGACGTGAGATGCCGGGACGTGTGATGCTGGGATATGCAACACCAAGACACACAATCCCGGGACATGCGACGCCAGGATAGGCAGTCCTGGGAGATACGACCCACGCGATGCCGGGACACGCGACGCCAGGATATGCAATCCTGGGACACGTGAAACCGGGACACGCAACGCCGAGATATGCAATCCTGGGACACGCGCCCCCCAGACGTGCAACGCCAGGAGACACGATGCTGGGTCGTGCCACAACGGGACAAGCCGCACCAGGACATGCAACAGTGGGACGCGTAATGCCAGGCCGTGCGAGGCTGGGACGCGCAACACCAGCCCTGCTGCCAGCCAGGACTTTTCCAGCGGCGCTTTTCCCCCTTCTCAGGGAAAATGTCTCAGCCGGGATCGAGCCCCACGCGTGGAAGAGGAAATCCGCTCATTAAAGACCCTAATTGGGCATTAGGGGATCCTGCGGCGCTTGCGCCTCCTCCCCGAGCGCGGAGGCAAAATGCCGCCGTCGCCACGCGGCACGACCCTCCCCCGGCACATTGGCCCCCGGCAC